AAAAAAAAAAACCTGGTACCGACTGTCTTCAGAGTTCTTGTCATGAGCACAACTGAAGGCAGCCTGGAACCAAGGCTGTGTTCTCCCACCCACATGGCAGGATGAGTTCCCTTGGCTATAGCCATGACATACAGAATGTCATGCCAAGACCATGCTGGGGTGAGGTAGCCTTTCGGACTGATCAAGAATCAGCAGCCCCCTCCTAGGAATGGGGCTTTAAGGGGGGAATATTGGGATTTGGTGGAGTGGTGCATTCTCCTTTCTTTCCCCACACTGAACACTTTTGGCATAACAATAAATGGTTGAAAAGGGTTTCTTTTGGAATCTCTTTTTGCCACCTGCTGCCCAGGCCCTTGCTTTGCCACTCTAGCACAGGGCTGGACAATACCCCCTGTCCCCAGGAGGGTAGTTGCTAGGAGAGTCGGACCTGTCCCTGGTCCTAAGTTTCCATCTCATTGCTTTGCTCTATGTGCCTTGATGACTCTATGCACCAGCTCCATCCTTTTGTATAGGAAAAGTTCTAATTATGTATTTTCTGCTTTTCACACCCTGCCCCTCTCTGAGACCTATGGTCAGTATATAAAATAGCTCAAGTACATTTCAGAGTAATCATTCATTGTGTGCATTCTTCATTCTGGGGACCTTGACATAAAGCTTATTGATTTTTCTTAATTTTTGCAGCAAATACAGTTATTTAAAGCCATTTTTTAAAGTAGTCATTTCAAAATGGAATTATAGAATAAGGGCATTTATAGATGGGGTTTATTACTTAGTTTCACAGACATTCCTATGAAGACCAACAGGCACACTGTCCTTTGAGAAGGCTAGATGGTGTAGGCAGCAGACGGGCTCTGTGGCCCAAACTGGGTGCACATGCCAGCTTAGCCATGCTGAGCTAGTTGTTCTTGCTTGTAGATGGCAAAGGCAGTTCCTGTGCACATTTGCACGTGACAGGTGCTGGTTCTCAGTCCATAGAACATAAGACGACTGGCAAAGGTAGGGTTTGAGTTTGTTCTAGTAAAGAAGGCTTTTCTTTTTACAGGTTATTAAAAGGCTACTAATGGTATTTTATCCCTTTCAGAAAAAATGCCAGCTGTGGGACGCGGAGTGCAGGCCGCACCACCTCTGCAGGGACTGGAGGGATGTGGAGATTCTACACAGAAGACTCCCCAGGGCTCAAAGTGTAAGTTGTCCTGGTGACTGAGTGTTAGAGCTGTCCCTGACACGGTACACTGCAGCTGCGGCTGTGCCAGCTGGGCTGGGTCTGGCTTGCCTGTCCATCAACTGATTAGACCGATTAGGGCTGAATGACACCTTTCTGGGAGTGATGGAGAGGACAGAAGGGCCTCCTGTGGCTGTCAGGGTAAAGGATGGCTGCAGAGACTGGAGGGGAGCTGCTTAATCAGAGGGAATCTCTCTTCATTAGGTGCTGCTGCCCACCCTGAGCAGTGGAGGAGCCATTTGAATGGGGATTGGGTGGTTTTTCAAAGTTTCCCTGAGGGAGAGGCTGATTTTATTACAGCCTAATGGAAATTTCCCATTACTTTGTATTACCCAAAGTTGCTTGGCTTCCTTGTCAGGGTGACTGCATCACTTTCCCAGCTTAGGCTTGGGAGGACTCAGGGGCCGATGAGAAGTGACTGTCCAGGCAACTTCTGTCCTGTGTTCACCTCTTAGGCCAGGGTGTCTAGTACCAGGGTGCCCTTCCCTGCTGTTTCCTGTAACAGCAGCAGATCTCCTTTGTGTAGCATCTGCTGTTTTGAGGAAAACGTAGTGTCTTTTGTGTCTTGATGGGACCAGCAGCCCTGAGGTAGGAGCTGCGCCGTTTTGCAGATGCGGAATCTCAGGCAGTGAGGTACTCGACACAGTTGACAGGCCTGACTGTTGAGGCCCATGCCTTGCCCTGCTGCCTATCTGGTAAATAGAGACAAAAATGCAGTTGGTTTAATCAGTTTGGCTTAGATTATTGATTTAGTTTATGAAGATTTTTGGTTTAATTCATTTATTGAATTTTTTTCCTTATACCGTTTTGTTTTGTTCTTTTTTTTTTTTTCCTTTCTGGGGCAGGGTCTTACTGGGTACTAGGCTAAACTGAGACCACCGTCTTTCTGCCTCAGCCTGAGCACTGGGATTACAGATGGGTGTGACCACACCGAGCTGGTCCTCTCCCCTCAACCCCCAAGTGTATTGTGACTTGTGAATGTGTATTTAAGGAGCAGTTCTCTGGCTGGTGGCATTCTGACAGCTTTTGATGATTGTTAGAGGTGATTTTCTTAGTGTTGGAAGAAGAGCCTTCTATTCCCATCTTCTTCCTCGTGGCCCTGGAACTCATTTTAAATCTCTCAAAAAGGTGGGAAGCCCTTGTTTGGGCAAGTCTGACTCACACCTGCCCTGCGAGTCCTTCGGGGGTGCTGCTTAGGTCTTCTCAGGAACTGGTAGAAGTTGTCCCTTCAAGTTTCATAAGTAGTTTCCCAGTAATATTAGAGAAATATACTTTGGTGAAAGAACGCACTCGAAAATTCCTACCTACAAATCTACCACCAGCCAATACCTTTGAGCTTGTTTTGGCTCATTCTGGGGGTTTAATAAGGTTTTTCAGGTTGATAATAGGGTTTCCTGAGATCCCACTATAAGTCTGCCTCTGTGTCTGCAACCCTTAAGATGGGTGCCATAGTAACCATCTTGCAGATGGGAGACAGACTTAAAGATAAGGAATGGGCCACAGGCAAGCTTGTGAGGGACAGGCATCCAGGCTCTGTCCCTTGAGGGCTGGATCCTTAGCTCTGTGCGCTGGCTGTTAGCAGTGGTGCCTGGCAGTAAGGGAGGAAGTTCAAGCGTAGTATAGTGGTGCTTCCTCCATATCCTCTTAAACTTGCTTATTCTTCCATTGTGCAAACTTCAGACTGATGGAGCCGAGACCTTGAACTCTGCATTGTTTGTTATCCAATCTGGTACTGCCGCTCCCTCACCCTGGGTCCTGACAATGCCTAGACGACTAAAGGTGCCTTTTCTGAAATCTCTGCTCTCTACTTCCCAGTTGTATCTGGGAGGTGAAGTGAGATGTATTGAATTCTTCAAACGTGGTGTGGGCAATGCTCACAGTTGTGGACAGTCAGAGGCCCTCCCAGTAAGAAACATGTAAGCCAGTTCTCTGTAGGAAAAAGCATTTGATTGAAGGGTGGGCAGATGGGGGAAATCTATTCCTTTACTACACTGAGCCCATGAATATAAGTCAACAGCATACACTGCACAGAATGTGGTGTGAAGATTAGAAATTTGCTGGGTGGGCAGATCTCTGAGTTCAAGGCCAGCCTGGTCTCCGTGTGAGTCCTGTGACTGCCAGGTCTACAGAGAAAGACCCTGTCTTAACACAACAGGCAAAAGGAGCCTAAAGGGTGCAGTCAACGAAGCCAAGTTCAGGCCTCTCGTTTCTAGTCTGTGTTTGGGCAAGAATCCCTATGAGCTTCAGGTTTCCTTAATATAAAAAGGATTAATACTGTCTTATTTGTGGCATGTGTTTGTGCAGGTTGAATGGGATCACAGATTTAAAAGCATTTTGTAAATTATATAATGGGTTAATTCATCTGTGTGTCTCATACTATAGTTAGATAGAAAAGGTTGTTACTTAATTTATGCTAATTTGAGAAGTTTTGTAAATGAATCATTTGTATGTAAAAGTTTGGAAAATTTTTTTAAATTGTAGAACCTATTAATAATAAGTACACAAAATTAGAGAATCTGAGAGGTGACCTCCAGGGCATCAGATGGGTTTGTTTGTGTATAATCTGCTGTTTCCACGGGAGAGGAGGCTGCACCTCCTTCATAGGAGTGCCATCACCACACACATTTGCAGCAGTAACAATTTTGGGAATTCCTGTGTACAGCATAAACAATGTCCCCACCTTGTCCTCAGGCCATCTTATATTAAGCATACCTTGTTCCTGAAGTATGCCTTCTCTTCTCATTCTAGTGGCCCTGTTCCTGTGTTGGTGATGAGTCTTCTGTTCATCGCTTCTGTATTTATGTTGCACATTTGGGGCAAGTACACGCGCTCATAGATTTGGCTACATCCATCTGTCATCTGAAGAAGGAAAAAACCCAACATATCTTGGACCAAAAGTGTAGTGATTTTCTGTTCACGTGTATTATTTTACAGAGAACTTAATAAGAATTGACTTTGAGAAATGTTTTTTTCTATGTCTAATAAACTTTGGAATTGATTTCTATGGAGCTTGGTCGCTGGTGCTTCACTGCAAGGCCCTCAGTCTCTGCCTTCAGGTTTGCTAGTGAGAAGGTAGACAGCCTTTCTCAGAGAGCTCATTCTGTGTGGGGTTGACAGTTCCCATACAGCCATGGAGTCATTCAAATCCAAGATGCTCTAATTGGCCTTGGCATGTTTTCCCCAAGGTATTTCTGTCCTGGTGATTGTCATTTTGGGTACTTGGTTTTCAAGAAGTATGCCTTGGACTCCATCAGGCAGATCTGTGCGAGGAGGCAGCTGGTGCCGAGGGTAAGAGTCAAAGAAATCAGAAACCAAAAATCTTGGCTGAGATATCTGCTCATTCTGTTCTTTTGTTTTGTTTTTCCTTTTTTGAGATGGGGGTCTTGCTATGTAGCCCAGACTGTCTTGAAACTTGCCATCCTCCTGTCTCCACCCCTTGAGTAGGAGAACAGGCGTGCCCTCCCCCCCTCCCCCCGGCCTGGCGCCTTCAGTCCTTTGTGTCTGAAGTTTAGATAATTGTTTGCTTCTTTCTCCTCTGAGAGAGTCCATCAGGGATTTCCATCTGTAGATCTTCCTTCTTTCCTTCTTTTTCTTTTCTTTTTTTTTTTTTTTTTTTGGTTTGGTTTTTCGAGATAGGATTTCTCTGTGAAGTCTTGGCTGTTCTGGAACTCACTCTGTAGACCAGACTGACCTCGACCTCACCTAGATCCCTTTGCCTTTGCCTCCCAGGTGTTGGGATTAAAGGTGTACACCACCACCCAGCACTCGCAGATCTCACTTCTAAACCTGCTTTGAAAGAATTAATTTGAGGAATTGGATTTATTGAAAATTAAAGACTTTACACTAAGTCTGAATAATTCTGCCCAAAAGAAAGTTTTGAAGTTCACACCACCTGGGCTGCCCCACTGGGCATGAGTGAGAATCGCCCCAGTCATGCATTCTGGGAGCCAGAGGGGAGAGAGGAAGAAGCTGCCGACTGTCCATTGCTATTGCAGTGTTGAAGAGATGTATAGGTTACAGAACACCCGGGACTGGCCAGATGGCCCAGGTGGGGCCCTTTGAATTACTTACATAGTGTATTGTACAAACTGATGGATTTCATCCTGCTGTTTCTATGAATGTAGTTAATCATCACTCTGCCGTCTTGTTCCGCCTTTCTGTTGGCTGCCCTCTTCCTCGTTCCAAATAGTGCCGCCTCTTTTATGTTACAAGCAGTCGGGCCCTGAGCCTTGCACATGCTACATAGCATATCTCTTTATAGGATTTCTTTAAAAGAAATTGCATTTATTTGTGTGTGTGTGTGTGTAAGGGGAGGTTATTGTATGATGTGGCATACATGTGGAGATCAAAAGATAACTTGCCGGCGTTGGTTTCTTCTACCACGTGGGTTCTGGGGATGGAACTCAGGTTGTCAGGCTTGGCCGCAAGCTCCCTTACCCTGGAGCCATCTCATCAGCTCTGTGGAAGATTTCTTAGGGAGACATATCAGGGAGTTTGCATTTTTAAATCTTAGCAAGAAACATTTTACTTGGGGGAAAAAATGGACAGAAAAACTGGCTTTCTTGGATTCTGTGAATTTCTTAATTCATTAAATAGGTGTTTTTATTTTTGAAGCACTGAAAAGAAAGTCCGATTCATTTGGGAAAAAAGGCAATAATATCAACAGTAGAATTCTACTTCCTAACCCTGCACTGCCATAGCCAGTTAGAGGAACCAAATACAGCTAAAAGTTAGGACTTTAATTTGGAAAAGAAATTTGTTTATCGGTGTGTGTGTGTGTGTGTGTGTGTGTGTGTGTGTGTATGAGTCTGTCTGTCTCTGGGCAGATAGAGATGTTCTCTGCTTCATTGTCCTGTCTAGCCTGGTCTATAGTGGTACCCGAAAGCTGCTGTGTTTTCTGAACCAGTGAGCTAGAAGGTGCTCGCTCTCGCTGGCAGGATGGGGAATGCTTCAGTTGGCAGAAGGAAAGGAAGGGAACTTGGGAGTTGGACGTAAAGATGTGCAGTATTTATTCCGTAGCTTCCTTGGCTCTGTGGTGCAATGTTAATACCGTTGCCGAGAAACACAGTGTTCAAGCTGTTCCTTTCTTTTTTATCAAAAGAATTATTTTTTTTTGGTGGCAAAACACACAATATAAAATTTATCATCCTAACCACTTTCAACTTATTATTCAGTGGTATTCAGTATATTTGTATGTATGGTAGGATGCTCACCCCATCCACCTCCCAAATGCATCACTTTGCAAAACTGCCCTCCTCCAGCAGCTGACGGCATCACTGTCTTCACGGTGTGACTGTTCTTCCTACAGGTAGAATCCTACAGCATTTGTCGTGTTTGTGACCTTATTTTGATTGGCATAAGATCTTCCACATGCTACATTGTTTTTCAGAATTCCCTTCTTTCTAGGCAGAAAGATATTTGTGTATCACATTTCTTTAAAAATAAATTGTTATTCTCTCTCTCTCTCTCTCTCTCTCTNTCTCTCTCTCTCTCTCTCTCTCTCTCTCTCTCTCTCTGTGTGTGCGTGTGTGTGTGTGTGTGTGTGTGTGTGTGTGTGTATTTTAGATCATGGCTCCCTCTGTAGCCAGGCTAGCCTGGAACTCTTGACCCTTCTGTCTCCCAAATGCTGGTATTGCAGGCATGTGCCACCATGCCTGGGTTTTATTTTAGCACTTCTGAAATCCTAACACATTAGATCTTTGAGTTAAGATGACATTGGTTCAGAGAAGCTTCCAGGACCCTTGACATGGGCTGTAATTCTAACTGCTTTTGGTGGCAGCAGCGCCAGCAAAATGAACTGCTGTCACTGACTCAGGCTAAGCCCTCTTAAGTCCTTGAAGAAGCCATGTTAGGGACAAAGTCAAAACTAGTTGGGAGTTTTAGTTGAGGTTCTAGTATTAATGATCATGGCTATGTGCCCAGGAGGCTAAAACACTTAAGCCCCGAGCCACCTCTGCAGCCTAGAAACATGGATTTTATCAGTCACCAGGTAGAAGGGGCCTCTGTGACCAGCACCCATAGGAGACCCTGGGACCCAAGGGCCTAGCCAACTTCTTGAGCTAAAACATGACTCACGTTATCACATCTGCCGGTACTGGAGAAAAAAGCATGCTGGGTCCTACCTAGGAGAGGTAGCCTCTTCGAGACCCGAGCAGGATCTGCCTTCCACCTGGGTCTACCTGGGTCTTCTCAGATGATGTTCATGTATCCTTTTGTTGTAATGAGCCTTAATCTACACTCTGTCCCCTGAATTATTCCAATTTTCTAAAAAAAAAGTAAATAAATGAATCACTGAACAAGTAGGTGGTCCGGGAGGCTCCTAAAACGCTTAGGATGCATCAGGCACTGTTTGCATCATTTGGGTCAGATATGCTAGCCACGTGATCTCAAGGGGTTTATCTCCTGACCCTGTTCTTAGTGCCCCTCAGCCCAGTTGCTTTCCCCCTGCCCTGCCCCCTCTTCTCCTGCACCAGGCCCGGCCCTCCCCCCAGCCCTGTCCACCACATTTTTCAGTATTACTGGTTTTAATTTCCTTTACCATCCCCTTTATAAAAACTTCTCTCCTGATTTAATTACTACTTCTTTTAATTCGCTTTCCTTCTCTCGGTTGTCGTTAAACTCCTAAAGCTGTTTTCTTAAGAATGCCGCGGCCGGCCTTTTGCTTAGAGATTAATTGTGGTCATTTTGCCTTTGAACACAGGTGCTTTTTTTCTGTAGCTCCCCAATTATCTTTGGAAGGAAAGAGAGTGGCCATCCTTCTTCCCAGACCTTCTCTGAGGACAAACACTTGAGAGAGAGGGAGCCAAGCTCCCACCTCCCACTGACTATAATGTCAGCTTCTAGGCAGAGCTGGGAAACCCAGGCCTCTCAGGGCTGCTCAGGCCAGGAGTGGCCTAGGACAGCAGCCATGAGAGGCGAGGCTCTGCTGGGATAATGTGGGTGGTGAGGAGAACAGGGCTGGCTCAGCCTCGTGGCCTGCCCACCCAAGGTCCCCAGGAGCACAGACTGTGGCTCAAAGGAACAAGACCCTGGCTGGAAGTTCTCTTTTCCGGAATGGTCCTCTTAAGAAACTGGATTGGTGTGTAACACAAACAAATGACTGGTCACCCCAGCTATAGGGCACCAAAGACAGGTCAAAGAGACAGTTTCACCTAAATCCAGCCTGCTGAACCGATGGATTTCTTGTGTAATGTGTGAGAGTCTGAGCCATTATTTTTGTTTGTTTGTTTGTTTTTCAAGACAGGATTTCTCTGTAGCTTTGGGGCCTGTCCTGGAACTAGCTGTTGTAGACCAGGCTGGCCCAGAATTTACAGAGATTCGTCTGCCTCTGCCTCTCGAGTGCTGGGATTAAAGGCGTGTGCCACCACCACTGCCTGGCAAGAGTATGAGTCACTCTTGAAGCCCACCCAAGCATGGACAGTGGCCCCCAAAGTTGCCTTACTAGAGTGTCCCCTTCAGTCAGCCTTCCGCCTCCCATGGCCTCACTCCCGTGACCACATACATGCAGCTGGGGCAGGGTCACATGCAGCTAGTTGGGGGCAGGAGAAAGGGGGTGGCCTGAATCTGGTCTGTGGACCCCTCCTGTTCTATGAGGGACCTGTGAGTTTAATCATAGTTGCTTTGAGTTCTAGAAGGCTACAGCAGTGTCACAAAAAGGCCAGATTTTTACAACAGGTTCCAACCCCTTCTTCTTTCTCTCTATACTGAACCCCCACACCTTTAAGAGACCCCTGGGCCCTGCTTTTTATCCGGTTATATTGTCTTTTTCACAGCCCCTTAGAAACTGGGGACAGAATTCCAGGCTGGTTCCCTTTCAGACCTAATTACTGCGTTCCAGCCTCTGCATAGGTACCTCATCCTGAGAAGCAGAAAACACAGGTTCTGAGCCTTGCTCTGGGCCTCAGAGACCCACACTGCAGTTCCCAGTTCCCGTTTGTGGATAATTGGTGTAGTTAAATAGAGGGCTATTATGTTGACTTTTGTGAGCGTCCAGCCACCTGTAGT